GATGCAATCAACTGGTTTTCCTTAGATAGAAAACTTTGAATCAATTTAACTATGATCTGGTGAACTGTAAAGTGCCTTGGGATGGCATGTGCTGTGAATTGGCGCTATATGAATAAACTGAATTGAACTGAACCGCTCCATAGGCCAACACTACCCCATCAAAAAGGCATTGGCTATTAAACTTAATGGCTAAATAAGTAACATTATTTTAGCTTTACTCATCTGTCAGAAAAGCATGTCAAATTATAACTCTTCGGTCTGTTTTTATCATTAAATATATCCAAAGCAATGTATATTTAAATGTTTTCTCTCTTTTGCCTGACGAGCTCTTTCATATGTTGATCAATGTACAAATCTAAAGGACAATGAAACCAGTATTAATCAATATCCTAGAACAAATCTTTGTCCCTCAAAATGTAAACGTTTACAACTTGGTGAGAACTACATGAGAATTTTTTCACTGTAAGACTAGTTTTAGACGTTCATTGTTCGCTACAGCACTGTGAGCGTGAAGCTCCTTCTGTGCATGTGGGTCGCTTTGGAGTCTTGAATGGTTCAGATAGTCTGATAGCAATGTTGTTTGGTTAACAGTATAAACAAATGTGTAAAAAAACAAAAAATATATTAAATCAAAGCACAGCTTGAGCAATTTTGAATAACAAAAAAGAGTGGCTCGTAAAAAACAAATCAATAAAATGCTTCATGAATTTGACCATTCGAAAGAGTTTTTGCTCAAAATGCGCACACAAATCACTTAAATAAAATCATAGACTGAACAACTTTAAATAACAAAAAGAGCTTATAAAAAAAGTAAAAGAAACAAAAAAGCATACCCATGCAGTGCCAATGTGAGCACAGAGACAGATGTGACGGTTGCAGAGGCTATGCGTCAGAAGTATAAATTGGCCTGAAGCATGCCTGTAGTTCTGCCTTGGTCTCAGTTAATACGTTGGCATCTGTGTCATAACCTCCACGGTATCGAGGGTTGAGGAAAGTGCATTTTCTCAATCATTTGCTCAATGAATCGGGTTCATACTGCCTCCAGCTTTTTTTAGAATTCCAGTTTTGATCGACTGTGTTTTTTGTTGGTCATTTTCTGACAGAGCCAACACATTGTCCCTGCCCAGCTGGATTATGGGGAAGCTAAAGGAACTGATCGCATCATGTTCTGACCAAATATCAGTGAAGTCACTGACTGGTTTCAGCGCTTGTTGTGAACAGTTATCAAGAGATCTGTGTTCTGCCAGGTTAGGGAGAGGCTGCTTCTTCTGTCATCTGACAAGACTTGTCTGATCTCCTGAGCCTGTTCCAGGAATGTGCTCCATTATCGCCAGTTTGGTGCCGACCCATGCTGACAGATGGATGAAGTAATTAGCTAATTAATAAATAATTTAAATTATTAGAGGTGGAAAACGATGAATAGATGAATAAATAAATGAAATAAAAAAACATTAATGTATGTAGTTAGATTCTTAGTTTGCCTATGTCATAACATATTTAGAAATGTAGGTACAAATTGATACTTACCGTTGTGAGACTATGTTCTAGGAGTCCCAACTCCACTTGTTTCTGGTGGACTTCCCTCCTACGTAACCAGCTGTGTGAATTCCAACAATACCACAGCACACTCCAAAGGCACGCTCCATTCTGTGCGTATTGTTATGCAATTCATTTGTGACAGCCAGGTTTAGGTTGTGACTGAAGCAAAAAAGAACGGCCAATTAAGGGACTTAATTGCGGCTGAAATGTTGGCGGTGGTTACAGCTCAAAGTTTTTTCTCCATGTTGCCAGCCCTGAAGTGCAGCTCTGAGAGCTACAGCAAGGTTGTCCGCCATATTACTCTCAGGAAAATAGATTTTTTAGAAGCAGGTTTGGAGGAAACGCATGCATTCAATTGTATGTTCCGCTGGTTTTCTGCATCTTTGTCACACAGACACAAAATCACAAGTTATGAAAAAAGACCTCATCAATCTCCAAATGGAAGGTCCTCTTCAAAATAGTTTCATTTGACTGGCTTTAATGATTTACCGTAGGGTACATGAAGCATTAATGTATTGCCTTAGCAATGCTTTCCTTTTCTGGTGGAGGTAAGATGTCCTCCCATTACCATTTTTGTATCCCCCTCCCAATGCAAGTAGAAGCCATTCTAATAGAGGCCGCTCATGTTCCCTGACATGAAATAAATCCAGTCTATTTCAAAATTTATGAATGTCTCACAAAAAAGGATGAGACGGACAGGAAGTCGGACAGAGCAAGAGTAAAGTGGAACTGGTACGTTTCAAAAACAGGAGGCACATAATCAGCAAGGATCAAGTGTGGATTGCTGCACTGCAAGGCATGACAGATTTGTCGTGGATGACGGAGCGGACCTACAAGGTAGTCAGTATGGAGCGGTTTAAGAGAAGACTGAGGAGGGCTACCCAGAATGCCATAGCATTGGAAAGCAAAATCATGACTGACAGTCAGTGTGAATGAGACACTAGATGTATCCCTTCTATTTCTATCATCATATTCAGTTATGAACCCAAACTGTGGTGATAAGTTCTTTGTTCTATTAAGGTGTGCTTAAGATTAATCTAAAAGCTGCAGGATTGTAACCTTTGTGGACTGGGAACAGCTGCTATGATACAATTAGGGTGAATGTATCTATAAAAAGTACACTACATACTTTTGTAGTTCACATAGTGGAACTTGCTCAAGAGCTGCTACTTTGTACTATACTGAGTGGACTTGGGTAAATATTTAGTATTTAAAGAACACTTTGTACCAGATCTTTTCATTTTATCTCCACTTGTTCAGGATGAAACCAGAATATGGCTTTAAAGTAGACTGATTTGATCCGAGTTGGTACAGACTGGATATAAATTCACAAACATCTTTACTCAGATCAGCACTGTAAGAAGGTAAAAAAACACATTGTTTGAAAAGGTCAGTGACTTTCAAACTGAGCTCCTCACTGAAACAAAGGACAAAGGTCTGATTTAGAAACCGCTGAGGCCCTCTGACAACAAGCATGGATCGTCACAGCATATTGAGAAATCCTGTATGGCATAATGATTGCTATAAATGCACGTTTTTTTTGTTTTTTTTTCTCTTCATGATATAATGAATACCAGAGTGGAAAACAATAAATCATGTTTGTGTTCTGCCATTAAAAGAGTAAACTGTTGAATTGTGGAGACATTTCATGTTTTACTGAGATTATTGCTGTTTATTTTAAAATTTCTTATTTTTATCTTATTTTTAACATGGCTCTCTTTTTATTTATTTATTTTTTTCCCAGGTCCACCTGCAGACACAGCAGGAGGTGAAGAAGAGGATGATTGGGATGGCCGTGCATGTGGTGAGGAATGATGGGGTTCTGGCTCTCTACAACGGCCTCTCAGCCTCCCTTTGTCGACAGGTAGACATGCATTTTTTTTCTATCCAATTTTTGTAAACCTTTTAGGTTGTAAGACAACTGAAGTTTATTTGTATACCACAATTCAGTTCAAGGACAATTCAGAGTGCTTTACATGAATTAAACAATAAAATAGAAGGAAAACTAAAAGCAAATAAAGATAAAAGCAGGTTGTAAAAGAAATAAAGCAGTTGGACCAAAACCTTAAACTAATAATACCTCAGTTACAGTTTAACTTTAGCAGTCAAATGCAGTCTGAACAAATGTGTTTTTGTATTTTGACATAAAAGAACTCGGGCTTCCAGTACTTTTAAAGTTGATTCATTGACAACATATCTGTTTTTTATTTAGGTACTGATCTGTTCAGTGATTTATAGACTAACAGAAGGCCTTTTTTAGATTGTTTATCGGCCACAGAGATAGGAGCGTTGGTTAACCTGTCGACTGTGGCAAATAAGGTGCATTAATGTTGTTGATAATCTCAGAGAAGAAAGATTATCTTCCATCTTTTAGTTGTAAATTGTATTTTTAAAGTTTCTCTTTATAGATTTCATAGTGAACATGGTGTCTTTTGCCACCTTCATTCAGCTTTTTGGCACTCCCTCTTTTCATTTCTCACTGCTGGAGCATTTCTCCATTGAGATTTCATCTTCCCAGTGAAAAGCTTCACTTTAACTGGAGCAATGGAATCAATGATGTCTGCAACTTTAGAATGGAAATGATCAACCAACTCATCTACTGAGCGACAGCGTAAAGTGTAAGCAGATCGATAGGCCTGGGTAAAGCTTTCAATTGTAGTCCATGATAACACATTTTCTTACAACATATCTCTTGGTAATTAAATAAGTGGGGAAAAATGGTTTAAAAGTAAATGGATGGGGTAGCATCAGTTACACAAACAGAAATATTTAGCCCTTTATTGATGACTAAGTCCAAAATACGTTCTTGATTGTGTGTTGGCTGTTTAACATGTTGAGTCAAACCAGAATTTTCAAATATGAGTGCACATTTAAGTTCTGCAGTAATCAGTTTTTAACTTAAATGATAACTTGCATTTCTACTTGATCTGCATAACTTTCTCAGATTGTTCATATCTTAGTTTGCCTCCATGATTTGCTACTTTCAGACATGAACAGAAGAACTAAATAACTTCAGTTTGAGTTGAATTAAGCTCAACCCCAGTGGTCAAAAAGTGTCTGTTTGACTAAAGGAAGATGGCATTTTTAATGATTTCTGTGAAGGAAGGGTGTCCAATATTGCTCCAGAACCTTATTAAGGTTCAGGATGGGCTTGAGTTGTAACTTTCTAAGATACATTTTATCAATTCTAAGTTACAGTTTACGTAATTGATCCTGTTGGTGTTTAAAGTTATTTAAACAGAGACCAAATTAAGTGGACATGAAATCCCTATGAGGAGTTTGTAAACACCAAAATACAGCTGTATGCACAGCTGATTCCATATGAACATTTAGCATTTTCTTCCTATTATAACAGGACCAAAACATGCCTAGTGAGAATCATTCTGTTTAAGGACATTTGGAATTTATATTGTTTTAACCCTTTTTAATAAACAGCTCTTTCTAAAACGGACTGACACTGTGATTCAATATAACAGAGGTATTGTTAAGTTGTCACTCTTTAACTTTAACAATTTAGATTGAATGCTATCTGTCAGGAAGGTCATGAACTCTATAAATCAGCCTGCAGCTTTGCGGCTCTGCTTATCAACAGGCTCCTTTTGAAAGAGGCCTGTGACACCAAATGAACCTGAAAGCATAACAATACCACCCTCTACAAGTGCAAACTCATAATAACACAAGTGTGATTAACTTAATAGACTTTTAGATTACATAAGTTTATCAGTTCGTCTGTATTGCTTCCCCATTATAAATGATTTAGCAGATACGGCTGATAAGACCTGCAGTTGGTCTGAATGCAGGTTTATTCTTGGATCATTTCAGAATTTGAGGATGGTATAGGCTCCAATAGTTCAGAAGTTTTTTTATTTTATTTATTCTTTCAGAAAAAAACTTTTAATAAACCTTAAAAGTAATTAATTATGCTGCCCAACAATCTAATGCCTGCATTTCATTTATTTTGCACTGTTCTTTGGTTCAACCCTGTTAACATTACTTGTTCCTGAAAAACATTTCATTAAACATTGTTTTTTATTCTTTATAATTAAATATAGTAAGCTATATATTATTTGAATACTGATTTATTAAAAATAACACAGAGTTGTATTAATTACAGCAACTTTTTAATCACTTACTCCTCTCTTTGTGCTCATCTGTAGAGCTGCTGCTTTTCAGCAGCACACACTGCTGTAGCAGCGTTCTGAATAAATCAATAGAAATAGGGGTTAAAGGTTGATAAACTACTGTGATGTTTGAATGACGCATTCAGTGGCTGAAAACATTGATAAAATAGAAGGGGGGACTTAACTCACAGCTACCTATACTTGGAGCAATCAGTTTGACAATTGCACCTTGACAAGTTTGAAAATTTCTGCTGAAAAGCCTTGAAGCAAAGTGTATATGTATTTATGTATATACATATGTGTATATCGAAAAAAATAAAAGTTAGGGAATCAGTTTTAACAGGTTTAACTTCAACGGTATAATTTGTCTCATTACCTCTACTAGGAGAGTTATGTTTTTAGTCACGTCTGTCTGTCTGTTAGCAGGAATATTTGAAGTTATTAATGGGTTTCAATGAAGTTTTTACCTGAGGTGCGCCTCATGCTAAGGAACAATATATTCAATATTGGTAGTATTGGAATTTTTTAAAGGATTCTTTAACATTGTGAGTATATACATAGTGAATATTGACAGCTTAAGCTTTAGACTCCAAAAATCATGATCCAGGCATGCAGATTTTAGCTATAGGTGTAGGTCACGATCTGAGGAAAAACACTGAGGGACCTCTGAGGTTTAACATAAACACAATCATATAAACAACCATGACTAGTATGCTGAACCCTTTTGTAATATTAAATTAACTAGGGTTCTTTATACCTATCCTCTGTTTTACTCTGTCCCAGAATTCTTCTTTTGGTAAAAAAAAAATATATATATATATGATGTTATCTTACCTATACATTTCTCTTTTCAGATTACCTACTCCCTCACCAGATTTGCCATCTATGAGACAGTCAGAGACATGATGGGTAGCACTGGCAAAGGACCAATGCCCTTTTATCAGAAGGTCATGCTTGGAGCTTTTGGAGGTAAAACACACATTAGGGCTGAACGAAGTTGGAAATCTAATTGCGATTTTTTTTTTTTTTTTTTTTTTTTTTAAGCATAATATTACGATTACATGCAATTTATTTTTCCAGTTTAATTTCTCATGTCTTTTTAAACATATACAACCAAATCTTATTTTAAGCACATATTACAACAATGAAGGAAACAAATCTGTGGCTTTACCTTATTAACATCTTTTTAGGTTTCCTGAAACATGATACATAAACCTATGGATTCCACTCCTTCAACACTGCCAGATTTTAACAGGACAATCTATAAATAATTAAAATAAGATACGAAAATAATATTAACTGATCTCCATTCAGTTGCATCACACATACTAAAGTGCAGGAAAAATTTAGCGAACAAATGTCTTCTTACTTGCACAACACTTCATGTCGCGCAGCGTGGTCTTTTTTTTTTAAACCCAAAAAAATTCCACACAAGTGCTACTACTTACTGCTTCTCTTCAGTTGTCTGTTCTTGTCAAGTCTGAAGCCATTGTTCAGCAGGTTACGAAACGAGCATCAACTTTCCCTCTATTCTACTTTGCTTGCAAGTCACCCCCAATCACGTGACTTTTCAAATCGTGGCCTTTGCGTTAAGAAAACCTTGTTTTACCCTATCGTGCTTTTATTGCACTTGCAATTAATCATTCAGCTCTAACGTACACCAGCACATATTCGCTCTTTCTGGAACACACACTCTAATGCTCATTGCTAACTCTAAAGTGATGTTCACCAACACGTTTCATCTGCCAACAGGATTCACTGGTGGGTTTGTTGGGACACCATCAGACTTGGTGAACGTTAGGTAATGCCACATCCAGTCCAAATTCACTCATCACATTTGTTTCATGACATTTTATCACAGTTGGTTTGAGGTAGATTTGAAAGCAGTTTTATCTTTTTTTCCTAGGATGCAAAATGACATGAAACTACCAGCAGAACAGAGAAGAAAGTGAGTGTTGTGCTGCACAAATGCCCTATTTAGAAGGGTTTAGATTTTTAGTAACAGATTGCTGTATTTGTGCTTTCTTGCAGCTACAAACATGCTATTGATGGACTCTATCGAGTCTTTAGAGAAGGTAAATGATGAGCATAAGTCCAGCTTTACACATTGTTTAGCACCTCCTTGCATTACAGTCACTCTGATCTTTACCCACTCATGCAGAAGGTGTAAGGAAACTATTCTCAGGAGCCTCCATGGCGTCTGGGAGGGGTGCACTAGTTACTGTTGGGCAGGTAAGTCGCCTCATTTAAAATCAGATTGTAGGTGTTCAAAACTATATTTCTTATTAGTGGGAGCTAAGTATTTAAAAACATGAATGCATTAGAGCATTTTTAAAGCTACATTTCTGATTTTCCTTTAACTTTAAAACTATTTTTTTCTGTTTTGGATTTGGCTTTGAATTTACCTACAGGACCAACACTAGAGGACGCCAAGTAGCAATCTTTAATAACACCTGCAGCTTGGAGATTTGCTCCTGACTGTAGGGATTAAGTTTTAACTTATTTTTTTGACAGCAAATAGATACATAAGACAATTGAATTTAATTGAGCATCAATATTAAAAGTGTAGATTATAGATTTGTTTTAACAGTAACATTTCTTAAAATGTTTAAATGACACTTTGTTTCTTTCTGTTTGCAGCTGGCATGTTATGACCAGGCCAAGCAGTTAGTATTGGGAACCGGAGTGATGGGAGACAATATACTCACACACTTTCTTTCCAGCTTCATCGCTGTAAGGGTTCAGTTTTTGCACTGATTTAATGTAGTTTTTTTTTAAAGCTTTTTCTTGATCAAACATTTCCTCTGCAGGGAGGCTGTGCTACGTTCTTATGTCAGCCACTAGATGTTCTCAAAACCAGGTTGATGAACTCTAAAGGAGAGTACACTGTGAGTGAATCACTTCTCATTCATTGTGCTTTACCGACTCCTTGGATTGGTTGAAAGAGGATTTTTTTTTTAAATCTGTGCTCAGTAAATTATATTTACTTACTAACTTGCATTCTTAATACGAATCCATTCTTATTTATTTTCCAGTTTAAATTGATTTCTATAACATACCTGTCATGTCTGCAGGGGGTGCTGCATTGCTTGCGGGAAACAGCCAAGCTGGGTCCACTGGCATTTTACAAGGTAAAAACAAAACAGCCGTAAACCGTTCAGTCACATGAAAACATTACTCACAATCAGGCTGCACGTACCAATAGTTTATTAATTATCAAATACTCACAATCATTTTTTTTTCCTTTTAATGAACTTACACAAGTCCACACATCACTGTCCCTGTGTTACCTCTTGTTGCAACAATTTTATGCTTTTGCCAATGAAACCACTTTAAAAAAGAATTGTAATGGACTATATGTATTTTAACATAATTTTTTTTTTTTTTTTTCATAATTTTTTTTTTTTTTTTTTTACCAAAACCTATATTTACAACTAGTAAAAGATCCAAATAATTACAAAACCCAATCTTTTGTCCTTAAAATGTATTTGAACAATGTTTTGTGTTTAAGGGTTTTAATTTAAATATAAAAGGTGATCATATCAACCCTTGCCGTCAAATCCTAGTGTTTCTGTATCCAATAAGATTCAGTTTCCTTGGCGAATATGACATGGTGTGATAAAAATATCTTATTTTGCTAAGTTGGTGACATTAAGCGATGCAGACCAGGGCACATGGCCAACAGGGCTTGCCCACACTCTTAATTATTTGAAAAGGGACCTGGAAGTTTCTTACATGCATTTTTTTCAGAAAAAAATAGTCCCCTGTGCTTTTTTATACTTTGTACGATTTGCTCTGTAAAAAAACAAAATACTCCATAATCTATCAAAAGTCAATTAGTTTTTACTTCAGTCGACAATGATTGATTCATAGGATTGGGCGGCCAACAACAGATAGGGCTATGAATCTCAGTAGGCAAATAAGGCTGTATTGCCCTCTGCAGTCCTCTTTGGGAACTGCATGTAATATGTATTGCTTACTACTCGGGCTGAATAATTGGCAAGTGACCTGCTATAATCTGTTCCCCCCTTGTAACTTTAAGAAACAAAGGTCTATCACCTCCAAAGTTTCAGGAGTGAGTTTTCATCATAAAAGATGCGTAGAAGTCAGAATTGAAAAAGCTGGGACCTTTTTTGTCTGATTTAAACAAGGGGGACATATTATAGCAGGTTTTATTTTTATTTTATATAAATAAAACGCCTGATGTTAGAACACAGACTGTTTATTAAGGATAG